CTTAAATCAGTGCCACTGGAATAGTAGCCGATTCAAGCATAGACGACGAAATGCCATAGAGACGTAAGTGCAATCACGGAGAAAATTGTAGGAAATGCTCGACCAAACGTTCGACATCGGAGTGCTGCTAGCACATTATAAAGCTCACCCACGCACATAAATTCGGAATTCTTTCGGTGCATTAACGGAGAAATAGTAGGAGTTACTTCCAGGTGCATTACATACTGCTTACTAACGTCGTTTATATTTTCGTGAAGTCGTTCAACCGTGAAAATCGTTGGAAAACCGAGAATATTACGTAGTAAATTCAACTATGTTAACCGAACTTTTTCCTAAGCCCTTTTTAGAATTGTTGTAAAAAGGCATTCCGAAGACGTCAAATAATAGAACTGGCTTAGCTAGTTCTATACTTTAGCACTTTATCAGATCTAGACAGTATCACTGTTAATTGGCAAATATCTTGATTTTCTTCGTATTTTTGTTGAGCAAACGCGAGGTGTTACTATTCTTTGTTCACGAATAAGCTGACGTTTCGGCGAATTTCGCCTTCTTCAGAGCCGCTTTCTATGAGGTTTCCACTAAGTAGTGGAAAATAACTTTTCAGTAACACCTCGCGTTTGCTCAACAAAAATACGAAGAAAATCACTTGATCAATGCCGAGGTTAATAGAAAGTCGGTCGTGGCAGTTACTGCAAATATCTTGACTCTTACCAATGGTAATGAAGGTAGTGTTGGTAAACAATGAAAACAGTCCTCTTTAAATAAAGCGAAAACACAGAAATGAAAGACAGAAAAGGCTGCTAGTATTGATTTTTCTGAAAAAGAGCACATTATTACATTGTGATATTGATATTCTGTGCTTAATGATAGTCTAAATTCTACCTTTTTTCAACTCATAAAGCAAATCATTGGAAAAGTACCTTATCATTGACCCTTCCAATTATCACGAAGTGAGCTCTAATCTCTTTGGAGGAGTTTCCCTTATTCACTAACAACACGTGGAGTAACGTTATCGATCAAGTTTGTCAAAACCATTGAAAAATCAATTTGAAACATTGAAGTCACTGAAATTTTAAAAACCAGTTCTTCATTAAGCAAAGCACTTTAAATATGGTTATGGTTTGAAGAATGTGATTTTTTTTCAGGAACATATAGGAATAGTTCTATGGAAGTACTAGGAGTATTTTTATGTAAAAGTGCAATAAATTTACTGACGGTGAATTTTGTTAGTTATTTTAACCCTCATAACTAGTAAAAATTTGGACTTCAGAAAAAATCGTGAACACACCGATTTTAGCTTTTGAAGAAAGAAGAAGAATTGTTGAAAACGCTTGCTAACTAGGAATGCGTAGTCTGATCTAGTTAACTATTAATTTTAAATTGGTCTCCATTTCAAATCCTCGTAAGTCATAAAATTTTCCTATGAGACAACTAATCACGTCATGGGCTTTCTGTATTCTTGAAAGTTCCTTGTTCAGGTTTTTTGTAAGTTTCTTTTTTTTGGCAACGGAAAATATGAGTAATTGAAATCTGAAGACAATAGTGAACCGGGATAACAATAAAACAGCAACAAACTCTTCTCATAGCTAACAACGAGTTTTTTCAAGATCGATTTTTCTTGGAATCGGAGTAAGAGGGCTTTCTCATGACCGACTTTCTGTTAACCTCGGCATTGATTGATAATTCGATGTTTTTCTTCAATAAGCAGACACGAGGTTGTTATTATATTGTCCTAATTTAATATTTCTATAATAACAACTTCGTGTCTGCTTATTGAAGAAAAACATCAAGAGGGCTTTATCAGACGTCGGCAGTGCAAATAACTTTCTAGCGCTTCATTGCTAGCGAAAGAATAATCAAAGGCTTTTTTAAGGTGGAAATTAAGAGAACACAATACTAAAGATCATGTGAGTTAACAAGCTCCCAGAAAAAATAATATTAGAAAATCACAAATATCATAAATTGCAAATATTATGAATAGAATAGAACTTAATGCTTTATTCATTTGGGCAGATAGTCAACCATGCGAATAGAATTGTTTTGAATTACTCAGCGACTTTTCCTCGATTTCAGATGCTGCCGCAGAAATTACTGGTAACTTCTGCAAGTGAGGACAATGAAAAACTAAGAGATTATTGAATTGAAAAACAAATAAAAGAGTAGTGATCGTTACAACCACCCTCCCCCGCCCTTTCTTCTTCTGACCTTTAAAATACTCCTCAAATGGTTTTTTTATATTTTGTATCTATTTTAGTCTTGGAAAGATTTCCTCTCTAATTAGCAATTTTTGCTGTTGATCAGTTTTCACATATGTGGCGGAAAGTATTAGTATTGGAGGTTTTTTTCTCTCTAAATGCAATTTTCTTCCAGTGTCTCATATGCTGTTCTGATGTTGTGGAGCGGAAACGATTCATGGCTCCATGCTGATTGTCTTGCTAGCTTTGCGACTAGCATACGCCCAGTACACTAGCTATAATGGTATAGCATTGTAATACTACATTTCACTGAGAAAAATGTCTATGGTTCTTACAAGACACTGTGCGATGAGTGCGTGTAACGCAGTGGCTTAGAGCTGTCCTCTATACGCACATAGTCGTTGCTTTGATTCTATGTCCATGCAAGCCAACTCATCCTTTCTATTTTTTTTTTGGGTTTTCGGTTTGGTAAGTCATATAAGAATTTTCCGGAAAGATTATCTGATACATCAAAGACCTCTTAAAAACATTCTGTATACCAAATATGCATTCATTCTTTCGCATCTCTAAAAAAAATTTTTGACGTCGTACTTACTTTACCCGATTGTGCAGGAAACTGCTGCTAATGGAAAACAAAAGCACAACAGAGTAGATAATAGTAGTATCTCTACTTTATGGCTTGTAAAAGGCCGAATTCTCCCAACAGTTTACTGCCTCATCGTAGCTTGCAGGTGTTCCTTGTGTTGGACTGCGATCTACAGCGAGGGATTCGTTTCCACAGTAGGATTTCTCAAGCTGAGAAGGAGTCTTGGGTGGAGCTTAGCTAAAAGTAAAACAATCCCAGGATTCACCACCGTCCTGGTATCAAAATCACATAATAAAATCTCCCTCTGATCCACAAGGGCTACGACTGCCCGTGGTGATGAAGACCTGGGGCAAACCTTGGCCAGGCTGATCTCGGGATTCCAGGGAACCACAATGGCTTAACAGGCAAATCTCAGAAAAATGCTGATTATGCTGGGGTTCGCACAACCAGTGAGGCCGGGCCGTTCAAGATCAAGTGACAGGCCAAATTAATAAAAACTTGAACAGAGCTGTTAAAAACCGTCCATACTCTGCCAAGCCGGTTTTTTAGTGCCATCTTAAACTTGAAAATTCAATTAATTTGATCAACTTTACTTAATTTTATTTTTTCTAATTTATCCGCATGTTTTGACAGTGTTTTACTACACCAGAAGTAGAAAAGCAGCGCACTGAAGGCCATGTTCGGCTTTTCAGAAGAGAAAATGACAATTGAAAATAGCCGGCCACATAAGGATACTTCTCCAGTGCTTCAATGTTTTCTCGTGAATAATGCTTTTTCTTCGCTTTTCGCTTATGTGCTCGATGAATCGATAATTGTATAACACAAGATTCCGTGGTCTACTATTTTCCTTGGTTAGTCAGAGTTTGCAGAGCATTGTCCTTGAGCATTTTCCACGAGATTTCGCATGAACCATCATGTCGGCATGGATTTATAGAGAATAAGGCGGATAGGAAGTCATTATATGATGTGTTTTTCATCATTTGCACCACTTATGAATAAACGCTTATCACTAGGTAGCAAAAGAAGCTCATAACTAGGACAGTACTTGAGAGAACACCATGAAAACGGAGTTGAGTTCAGTTCTCACCTCATTTTCACAACTCTTTCGGTTGGAGCCTATCTCTTCAGTGCATTGTGCTGAAGATCAACTCTGAACGCACACTATCAGGCCTTTTAACACCTCCGCGACGTGCGTTGCTTAGTGGCCCTGCCGATTGGTGCTACGCCTACAGCGGTTGGCTGTTTGGGAAGAGAGTAGTTTCCGAAAATAGACAGCAGGTTTCTGATAACTAGACTATTTGAGGAGTTGTAAACATAAAAACGGGAGAGGATGTATACTATTATTAACTATAATGTTTCTGTGGTCCATCATGCAAACATTTTGGCTGCTAAGTTTTAAAGTTTGTTACATTATCTAATTAAGCACTTTTTATATCCGCTTATTTCATTCAATAGCTATGATTTCTTATAGCGATTATATCTGAAATGACAATCAACCGATACTAGATCACCTTTCACCTCTTATTTGTTGATCGTCGCATGACTTGAGGTTAGAGTAGCCTGTCGGATTCGGCTCGATCTTGGGACACAATGACCTTCATTCTAGAGTTTACGTGATGAACTCTGAACATCGGAATGGCGGTGTTCCTGCTGTGTGTTTAACATCCCGAGGAATCCAGTCACTAACGACTTTTGTCCATTGGCTGTCATTCATGCGCATTTTGTATCCCACCCACCTTGTCTTCTGCAGTTTGGCATACAGAACAGCCTACCTCTTTGATCTTGGGTTGTTGACATAGGTCGAAGCTTCGAATCGTCTCTCTCGCTTACGTGTTACTGAGAAACTCCTATCATCGTGCTTTCAACTGCATATTTAATGACGCTGAGTTATCTTCCATCCTTCTTACGGATCGACCAGATTTCTAACGCGTGTTTAAGGCAGAAAGAATAGTCAAGTCGAAAATGTGGGTGCGGAGTCGGGTGTTCATTGTTCTCTTCAATATATCCCCGTTGCTCTTAAGAGCGCCCAAGCCGCACGTTTCCTCTTGCTGCTCAACTTTGGAGCTAAGCTGTCCATCATGTTGACTTCTCGACTTGGAGGTAGCTAGATCGCGACAGGAATTAATCGAGACCACTCTTTTCATAAGCATTATCAAAGTGGACTATCATTCGTTCCGTTTGGCTAATGATTGCTTTAATAAGAACGATGTCGTCAGCAAAGCGAAGTCGAATTAATAATCATTTCAAAGGTTTGCGAAATGCCTTTATTTAATCCTAGTTGAGAAATAAGGCATTTCCCGGCCAACTTCTGCTGTAGTGTGTGTTGGATAAGCTACGGATCGATTACGAGATGTGTGTGAAAAACGCTCTGTAGGGCAGAATAAGCCATTGGAAACATAATGACCCTTATTAGGTCATATCGGTCACTCCGTTCGCTGCCTATGATTGTATGGAGCGCACACCTTCGCCAAAGTATTAAAACGTACGTGCCAATTAGTTCGTGCTTTTATTTCACGAATTTCATTTGATTTCATGAGCAGTAAAAAAAATACACTGCTTCTGGGAAAATTTAGACACCTAAGTAAGTGTGAGTGAAAAAATAGTAGCAATGGTAAGGTGAAGTAAAAGAAAGATAAGGATGATTATGATGAAAATTCGTACAACAGCTCTATTTTAAAGCGGTGGCCGGTCGACTACCGGGTCGTTGTTTGGCAGGCGACTTTGATTGTGGATTCGGTCGCTGCGTACCCATCACTATGTTCCATGATGGTAAACCCGACTGTCCTGACGGAAGTGATGAATGTGAGCATATTCATGAAAAAATTAGCAAGTTATGCGATGTACTAAATTTCAGGCTCATATTGCTCAGATTTCAACTATTAATTCAAAGCTGGAACTAGGTTTAAACGAAAACACTATGAACTAAGCGATTTCGTGCGATAATTATTATTAATAACTTAATCACCTCTCTCATAGGGTGCTTTTTTGGTCAAATCAAGTGCGGTGCATATTGCGTTGATATGTTGCATGCAGTTAGCTGTTTCTTCTCATCAAAATGTGACAACTCAAACCGTCAGCCACCATGGTGCTCAATATCAAGTCAGTTATATTCAAGCTATCTTCATTGAGATAAAAAATTTCTGGTGTACGAAATAAAGACAAGGATTGATCACTGACGAAGTAAAATTGCGATCAACGTTTTCAGAGGAAAAGATCTGTGGTGATCCCAGTGCATTTCCATGTAGAGGATATGGTGAGTGTGTGTTGTGGCCGTGGTTGCTTGACGGTAAAAGGCATTGCATCGATGGAAGCGACGAAGGTAGGTGAATTTTTTTAGCAGAATTTATATTGAGATTAAACAGCACGAATCCAATGTAATAGGATCGAACCGCCAGATTTCCGCTTGTTGTACCTTTTGAAAAGTAACAGCGCACTCAGTTTGCTCACTCATTTCTACGAACAGTCGATCAGTAAGCAAGTGCAGTGCACTCTACCATGTTATATAAGGATGTCAAGATATTTAGAAGCAAGTAAGCAGTAAGTAAGGAGCAAGTAATAAGTATGCGAGGAGCTTCCTTCGTATCGTCGTATAATTCTGCTCTCTATTTCAGATCGGCTGTATGTGAAAACGTTGGAAACATCGTTCCGGTGTTTCTACAACCGTACGAAAAAAATCGCCATGCCTCCGCCGCTCAACTATACTGACAGATCTCTGAAATCTTTTAACCGAGTTGTTTTGCCCGGTATTCGGCCACCTCTGTATCCGACTTTATTTCCAGCACCTCTTACCGCATTCACATTTCCGAATATGTTTTTCACTCCACCACCCTCGCTTAAGCTACCACCTCCTGTTCATCTTTCAAAAATTACCGGTTTACCAGCATTGCCACCACCATTTCCTACACTAGCTGTTAAACAGTCAGTACCTGTACCATATTCGCCTACTAAAGAAGCAATATCTCTACCTGATCTGCTCACAGCTCCCGACTATCCTTTTGATTATCCATTCCTCCAACAAACTACTTCGCCTTATACACAAAACCCTCTCGACTTCCCGGATAATATTATTTCTATAGAACAAGGCCTACAACCACTACACCCTACTACTCCCACCACTGATCATTTATCTGTCTCCAGCTCTTCCTCATTTGAGAATCGGCAAGGAATACCTACAAAGCACGACTATGGTCATATCAGAGGACGTATGAAATCGACAACGCCTTCTTCTTCGACGGGTAGGCTCACTCATATCCGAGTACTTGCCGGAGGTAATGAAGGAAATTCTCTTCAAGGAGAAAAACACGTTGTTGATCCACTCCGAGAGAATATAGAACACAAAATATCTGATAAAGGAAGTGGCGGTACTGAAAAAGCAGAGTCATTTTCAAAATTTGGTCATACAACTGAAGGAAATGCAGGTCACATAGGTACCGTAATCCAGACGACTACACAGACCACGATAGATAGGACTCATAAAGTACCTGATGAGCATTTGGTGCCTTTTCCAAATTTCTACGGCCCTATTAATCCGAAATTTCGAACAACAGCGCTCCCAGCTGTCGATTTAACTATTGGGCAGCAATACTCAAGTACGCCACAATCTCCCGACAGAAAAACTCAGCTCCGCACCACGAGGTCGCCATTAGGCTCAAAAACTGTGCCTATTAAAGATGAAGATGGCGACCTTTTGTTTACCGAGACTACAAAATCTGTAATATCATTGGAAGTGACGAAAACAGCGAATTCTGTGGAATTCAAGAACGAAAATACTTGCTTAATGGAAATGATCAATACATCCAAGAATCAATATCCGTATCTTGAATGCCAGTGCCCATTTGGGGAAATGTTAATGGATGAACACTGCGAGGGTAAGCTCCTTCTAAGCATATGCAGTAACTGTATCATAAGGTTTAACACTTAGTGTATAAACAAATAGAGCAGTAGACGAAACATTTGAACCAAAGTCGCAAATCTAAAACTTTCGCAATATTTACAATCTTGGGAAATGGTTTACTTGGCGTCAGCGTTTTCCCTCCGTATTCTAAAATCCCGTACAGTTTTTGTCTTACTTTGTAATATTATTGTTAATAAAAGGTCAATTTTCCATCGTGTTTTTTTATACTTAATAGAAAGGTTGTATAATAATAATTACAGGTCGCGAAAATGACCTAGCTTTCTATAAACTCGACATACATTCAGTATGCGGGGAAAGTCGACTCACTTCAGAGGAAAAAAAGTGGATAGCGATTGAAAAGGTCTGGTTTTCTTCTAATGCCTATTAAATCTGACAAAGAAAAGCCCTCAGTAATGGGTTGGTATTCGCCATGAAGCAACGCTTTTTAAGCATTGTGCAATGATTTCTATGCTTTCAAAACTCTTTTGAAACACTAACTACAGAATTTCAGATAGGGGAAACGATTACAGCTCCATCGTGTATCAGAATAAGCCCAAATGGTGAAGCTGTGGTGAATTCGTTATGTTATCCAAGATGTAATCTTGCAAATATTCGAAGGTCTTTGGTAGAGAAACCGGATAGTAAAAGGTCTATCAGCGTTGAAGGTAGGAATGGAATACCAATGCATGTGCTGAGATTATTTGGTTTTTCTATACAAGAAAAGAAAAAACAATCCACTGGATTCATTTGTGCTACGAATAATCATTGATCGGTTAACGACCGAACAAATAACACGTTAAACGTATCATAGTGCATAGGTAACATGGCATGTGTTCACAAGAAGATTAAAACCATTCACTGGATTTATTCACGTAGCAATGAGTTCAGTTTTCATTCAGCGATAGTTGTTGCTGCAACGGCATCTTTGAGATTATGCGACTTTTGTCTACAGGGAAATAAAAACCAGTTCATTGGATCCATTTGTGCTAAAAAGAGATTTTTATCCTGCATTCGACAAGTCGCAGGTTGATGTGCGTGACTGCTTTTCATTTAACCCGTCATTGCTAGCAAAAAATTCTAGATACGTTTTAGTCACTAAATCTCCATAGCTCTGACCAGTAGCGAATTAATGACAATTTACCGAAATATTTAATAAATGCAGGCGATTGATCTAAAAATGTAGGTTTTTCATAAAATCTGAGAAAATAGTGCTATTCCGAATCCGCAGTGTCACAAGATACGCATGTGTTCAGAGGCTCCACTGTGTGATGATGTTTCCACAAATTTTTGCCATCGTCATGCTAATTGTATGGTTGAAGACGTGCGACTGAAATGTGTGTGTAAGTTAGGAACGAACGACACATCTAATGGACTTGGTAGAATTTGTGAAGGTACTCCAGTTGACGAGTGGGTTTTTTGTTTTCAACCTTTATGTTCATAGATTTCTGTTATGTTGCCTACATATTGATACATACTCAGATTACTGTCCTTTTAGTTTTTCGAAACATTACTTTGTTTTCTGTAAGAATAAAAATTTTTACCATTTTTTATTGCGTGACGTGGTACCACATGTATTACAGTCTGCAGATCTACAACTTGCACGATTCGTTTTTCTGCTTCCACACCGACAAAGATTTTCGAATGTTTTCGTCTGTGGCTTCAGCTGCTTCAGGATGTTTTCATCGTCGTCACGAATGTTGTTAAATGCTAGTCGTGTCTCCGCTTGCTAGATTTCTCGGATGGTCATACTAGACATGGAATGCGAAGAGTAAACTGTTGCCAGACAAGTCTGTACCCAGTTCTCGAACTTTGAGGCATAAGAAGCTTTTTGAGCTCGGCGCAAGATCGAACCAGGACCTAGGAATATTGCGCCGTCTACGTAGTGAGCGATCACTATCACTGCGCTAACCGCTTTCCGCTAATAACAAATAAGTGTATGAAAAATTTGCTATTAGTCAATCCCTCAAGGAGATTTACTGTACATTGGACTTGATTTTTAGCATCGTAGAGGTGATTAAACAATTACTGGACATATACAGTGACTTTTGCGTGCTTACTCATCCGTCAAATTAGTGTTTTAATCCTCAAAAACAAGTGTGGTAGTGCAGTGCCTAGTTGCTGAGGTGTTTATCAAAAGTACTTTAGCTAGTAGCAGTCAAATTTCGATGAGGGCTTGTTTGTTTGGTGCTTAGGGAACCATGGACTCCTTATCTATTTCACTGCATCTCTTGCTATTGCGCTACACTTGCTTTAATTCTACTAAAAGAAACCTTCTACTAACCACAATTAAGGCTACCAAATTTTTAAATATTGATTAGACAGTTTTATTTGAAGCGTTTTGCAGCTTACGCTTTTTTGAAATGTTTGTCGTGTCTTTTTCAGTGTTTTTATCAGGATTTGTTCCAGCTGTATTATGATACTCGGAGCATGCCTAATATTCTGGTTGATTATTCTGCTGGGATTACTGCTACTTAGTCCGTTGATTTTTTTTTTATTCCGTTTTTGTCCACGTCATGAGAATACGGTTCATCCAAGAAAGGAAGCATTTGGCACTGTGAGTGGTAACAGACCGGAAACGTTAGTTGATAAATAAAACATGAGAAAAAATTTCAAACGTGACTCTTTACTGATAGATTTCGTAAAATTAAGTGTGATTTTTGGTTCTTTTTCCCGTTTGCTCTTCAGAACTTCTTCTTTTCTGAACTAATATTAGTCCCAAATTCTAATAAGCTACCACCGAAATAGCAATTTTATCAAGTGAAAAAGAATGAATGAGAGGAAGAAAGAAGATTAGGAAGCCTGATTTGATGCTAGAAACGAATGAAAAATCACTTAGTCACAGCGATTTATGCTATTGGGTGTTTGTTTTCAATGGTAATAGCTAGTCGTCGTTAAAAGTAATGAAATGTTTTGCAATAGTAATATCACCGTCTCCTCCTTTCAAATAAGCGTTAATTTTTTTTTTGATAACTATTGCTCTGTTTTTTTCAGCTGTCGTTCTCATTAGCCATCAATTAAATACAGAGGAATTTATTCCTACTAGCAATCCTAATAGTTTTTGACGACATTTAGCCTTTATTTGTGGTCTGATAAGGTCTATTGATAGAATGAATAGATGAGACTTCTTGAAACAAGAAAACGAATGTTGTTTTTAGTGGCATATGGATTTACACCTAGCTTTTATGATGCTGTGATATTTGCAAAACTCCGGACCGCAGGTGTATGCGATGGGGAACGAACGCGCTATTGTCCTTTCCGGGGAGTAACGCGTTCACCACCACACCATGCGGGTCTATAAATATCTCAGCATCATTGAAGCTATATTTCGTAATATACCCTACCATTAAAAAACAGTAGGCAGTAAATAATATGCTAAAATTGAGAAAGACTTTTATTTACAAAACATGGAAACTACTGAGCGGTAAGGTCCAAAAGCATTCTGTTTAAATACCTACTTAGACACTTAAGTAATTCCTCTTCACTGATTGCGCTGGTTTCAACAAAATTTCCAGTTTTTCGGAGATTTGCCGGTTTTAGCCACTGTGACTCCCTGGAATTCCGAGGACAGCCTGGCGAGAGTCTGCCCTAGGTCGTCAACACCACAGGCAGTCGCAGGCCTTGTGGATCAGAGAGAGATTTGCCACCATGCGACTAATTTGATACCAGAACGGTGGTGGATCCCGTCGTTTACTCCTAGCTAGGCTTCTTTTTGGAAACGCCGGACCCCTTCTCAGCTTGAGAGGCCCTACCGGATTATGAATCTCCCGCTGTAGATCGCAGTGACACCCAGGAACACCTACCAGCTACGTTGGGGCGGTATAACGTTAGAAGGATTCTGTTTAAATACACCATAAACACTGGTAACGGTAGTCAAATTTTTCTTCGCTCGATCTGTTTCAACGGTGTTCATTGTACGTGGGCTGTCTAGATGAGTAGCAAATTGTGCGTATAAATAAATAGTTAGGCGGAAAAATGTGTATTTCAGCTCAAAACTAAGAAGAATACCGATGGAACAAGTGAGGAGAACAAACATATTGCAGCACTTATGTCAACATTATTGGCTAAGACGGCTGGAGGTAATGCGACAGTACTACCACACCGTTATTATTTCAATAATTAAAGGTCTTGGCTCAGAATAAACCAATAACAGGTCAGCGGGATTTGGCAATGAAGATGGCCATGACAGAATTAGAGTTGAAGAAATCCAAGAAAAGTGAAAAAAGTCGCAAAGTTGTGAGAACAACGGGAAACTGCGACACGATTGCAGAGAATCACGAGGTCTTCTATCAGTACTGATATTTACAGTCTTTTTAATCAACATTTTTTCATCGTCGTTTATCGAGTTGACTGTATCGTTCAACACATTTGCAGTCGATACCTGAAGCAGTCAGCGTTAAATCTTCTGTTCAACCGATTACACGTATCTCAAAAAACAACAATACGGCAGTTACGAAAATTGAATCCACACCGGGCACCGTTCATCTGACATCTGGTGAAACTCCAATTTTTGACAAGGTATAAACGTTTCCACTGAAAATCGTTTTATCTACGGAAATTGTCTAGCACTTGACTTTTTCACACAGTCTTGCAAATGTTTTCGACTGTTTTTTAACTCTAAAACTTAAAGCAAACTTTCTACGAGCGAGAACTCTACAGATATACGTTTTTTTGTGGCATTTTTGTTGAAGTGGAACTAATACCCGCAGTATTTTTACTGTACAGTTACTTTACTCGCTTTGAATTGTCCAGTGCTAATAAGCACAGATTATAACACATTGTTTTCAAGTAGACTTAGTGTAATAATATAAAGAAAACGTCAAATTCAGATCACTTCGTCAGATATCGCTGCCGATGCGTCTACTCCTGCACCAACAGTTACCTTAGTGGAGAAGATATCATCACAACAAGCAGCATCACTACCTAGTGCCACTAAGGTTAGTCCTTGGTTGATTTAATTTCCTTGTTCTGCTCCAATTCTTTAGAAAATTTTAACTTTAAATATTAGTTCAGATCATTATTTCGATTACAAACTTGTACTACTTGAACTTGAAATCCATAGAGGTTCCATTGTTGTTGAAGAAAAAAGAAGAACAAGTGCAACTTACTTTGTGATGGATAATTTTATTTAAACGCAGAGACTTGCAGTAATTGATGAATGACGAGTGCTGATCCGAAAGATTAGAATTCATGACCATCTCTTGGCTTCCTGTGAGAGGTTTCTTCGGTCAGTATATGCAAGGTTAATAATCGCCAAGCTTTTACCTATTATTCTGTGGAATGCTCATAACAGTATCGTTCTAACTAAGTGTTCAACAAAATTGTTAGTGCCGTATCAGTAAACAAACTTTTATAGAAATTGAGACTTTATAAGATATAATAATTAAAGAATAAAACTCGGAAAGCGCTTTGCGTTAATTAAACTGAGGGGTGCCTCATGCATTCGACTTCATTTGTAGCGTCGAAGATGTGAATGACTGCATACTTATTTGGCTTCATCAATAGGTTGCGGAAACATAAATGGTCATCGCATGTTTTTTATCGCCCAAGACAAGTCTGTTACCAGTTTTCTAACTCCAAGGAAATGAAGGGCTTGTTCACCTTCAATGGTGCTAGGTCGAACCATCAACCACGTTTTTATTTCAGGACACATCTAAACAGTGCTCATGACGAGCCCTCAGCTAAAGAACAAGGCTTATTAATATATTTTTGTGATCAGTTTTAAAGAACAAAAAAACACTGACACATGAATTAGCGCGATTTTGCAGCTACCGACACCATCGTCTTCACCTCAAGTCATTTCGTCGGTTACTAATTCCTCATCGCTACCTCATGAAATGGTAACTTCATCGCCAGTCATGGTACCAACATCACACGCTACAGTTCCACTTTCACCAAATCCATCAACTCCATTACTTCATCAGTCGTCATCTTCTCTAGTAGTTAACGAATCATTGCCGATATCTCTTTCACAAAATCCTCACACAACAATTCCAGCGGGTGTTGAAGTACAGCGTAACAACGACAACAATGCTGAGGTACAACGTCGCGTTCTGCATGAGCGAAACTAAACATTTAATTCTTATAGAGAAATTAATTTTAGCAGCAGCTATCACGTACGACATCAACTCATTCGATTGGTGTTCAGCCAACTATCTGGGAATCATATCAAGCTCTAGGTGATCAGTATGTAAAACGCGATGTTATTGGTAAGTTTGTGTTATTCACATACTCCCGTACTTGGCAAAGCAGTGTTTTTTTTCTTTAAATAGGGATTAGTTTTCAAACCAATAACATAAATCTTTTGTCGTTTTTAGTGATATGTTTAATAGCAATATGTTTGTTAAATGTACGAATTATTTAAGATAAACAGAGTTTTGTTGCTGGTTCAGTGCTAGCCAAAAGCACTTACAAAGCAGTAGTCAGATTTATTAGGCAAGCTTAGGATTATCAGTTCGATCATGCGCCCAGGTAAAATCAAGCCTTCTGTCCCTTCTAGGTGTGCAAATTTGCATAGAAATGTACAAGAGGAGAAAAAAGCACTTAGTTAGTGCTCAATTGTCAGATAGCTCATACACGTATCCAAACGCCTTTACGATGTTATGAACAACATTCGATAGACGGCATATCCCTAAGGGATTGATTAACGCCCAACGCATTGTCATTTATCCTTTAACAACTGGACTGAATTTCTTTTTCTGTTCTTTCTCACTGTGAGCTGATTAGGAGCGAATATCGGCTGCTGATGAAGAAAAAACAGACAAAGGTTCCTGCACACAAGATCGAAATAGCGACCGACTCAGGATATGCAAGGAACCCTAAGCCAATGCACTGCTCTACACACAACTGTAGCAATAGGACAACTTCTCATTAAAAGAACGATACATTTATTGGACGAAAATTGGCAAACAAACTACTTTTTAAATAAAAGTGTTAAGAAACCATTCAGTAATAACGTTACCAAAAAAAGAAGTGCGAAAAAAATGATGTTGAAGACAAGAATGATAATTAAAGCAGTTCTCGTCGTAAAATCGTTAACACGGAGAGCTTTTCGTGCTACGATTTCAATACGTATCATTCATTCAATATCATTCTCACTCCTTTCATTGTTTTTGTAGGCCATCGTTAGAACACGAAACATAGCCAAACATTAAAGAATCAGTTGGTGAAAAACGAAAAATAACCGTAACCGTACTCGAAAAAAATCAGTAAGCCGAGATGAAGGAAAAGTGGTTATTTCTTAATATTCATCTTGTCATTCATGTCAGTCATGTGTGATATTACGAATGTTATGACATTCGTAGATTTTTCGATACAACCCGTCACATGCTGTACTTAAGCTTCCGTCAAGTGAACGACATTATTTCGTAATTGCCGGACGATTTTCCAGTCTTACTAATATGGTCATACATAAACGTTTTACGTTCATTACGCAACCAAATCTAATGTAAATGACCGGAATGAAGATCGCACCAAACTATTTCGTTACATGACAAGCATATTCGCAACTACACAGATTTTTCCATACACTTAATGGCCTGATTTAACGAATCAGGAGGAATCTTGCGGTACAGTACAGTTATCATTCAATGCTAGTCGAAGATGCTATCCCCTAAAGTAGCTAATGTGGCTCTAGCACTTTCTCAGGTTGCAAGCATTTGGAAACTAGTGACTATAGATATCGAAGGGCCTGCATGGTGTGGTGGTGAACGCGTTACTCCCCGGAAAGAACAACAGCGTGTTCGTTTCCCACCACAGACACCTGCGGTCCGGAGTTTTGCAAACATCTCAGCATTGTACTAGTGACTATGTTGTTGCTATGATGGTGTGATTCCTGGAAATCGTTTTCTACTAACCAGGCTCTAGAAAGGAAGTAACAAACTCGTTATATGCTTGGAAGACCTTGTAAGGTGATGAAACGCCTGCAGTACACTAGAGTTCAGCATTGCATCTCAGCACCGATGGGGCCAAAAACCATTTGAGGGAGATGGGCTGCATTCTCAACAACTGCTGATAATCTTCCACTAGCTAGAACACTTGAGTATTATTTTAACAACTTGATACTTGTAGATTAGGCTTTGGTTAAACTGGTTTAGATGGTTAGAACTTCATCATGATAGAATGCCGTGACTTGTATTTTGTTGATAGAGGTCATTAGATTCTAGTGTTTTTAGAAGAATGTGGAACCTTTTTTCCAATTTTACATTTCAATCAAAGTTTCTCATGAGTCTCTATAAAATCTATATATAAATATGTACATACATATATATATATATGATATTTAAAACTAAGGAAGAAAACTACTTTTAGCCACATGAGGTATATGGGTCTCACAGCGTAACGAATAAGTTAAACCCGCACGATAACGTAACTCTGTTCCAACACCAATTTCGATTTGTAACGGTCATCTTTCCCAATCGATTTCTGTATAACCAATCACAATTTTGCTGATCAAGTGTTCTTGACAAATATGCCTCTTCCGATTAGAGAATGAAAAAAGCCAACATAGAACAAGTTTTTTTCTACCTACTACCATCAGAACTGTAAGAGCTATTTATCGACTTCCACTTCACGGCTTTTTTCACTTGCTTAAAGCAATTGTGCTAGATTTGACAAACTTTATTCTGAATCTTGAATTTTTATTTACTGCCTTTTTTAAGTGTTCACGGCAAGGTATCACTTGTGAAGAAACTACAACAAGGTTGAGTTATTTGCAAAACTGCGGACCGCAGGTGTATACGGTGAAGAACGATCGCGCTCTTACCCTTTCAGAGGGCTAACGCGTTCACCACCACACCATGCGGGTCCTTTGTTTCGCCTGTGTCTCAGCTATTTCTATGACGCTTTACTCCCCGGAAAGGACAATAGCGCGTTCGTTCCCCACCATAGATACCTGCGATCCAGAGTTTTGCAAATATCTCAGCAACGTTGTGGTTATATTTCGCTTAGTACCCTGCCGCGAAATTATAGTAGGCAGAAAATAAAAGGTATAACAAAAATTGAATATAGGAGTGAATGTTTGATGTATTAGCTAAACTTTTAAGCTGGGTAAAGAAAAAAAATCACTTGCACTGAATGGTGCTGTCGTTTTTTTTCTTCATGATTTTCTATAGAAGCATTGAATTCAGAACGACGACGCAGCTCCGATTCTCTTGAGACTCTTATCGAAAGTCGTTATCCAAGTGGTTGTGTTACAACGACCAATGTTGCCAAATTGCAAAGTGAAAAGGAACAGCATCTACCAGAGTATGTGTTTTTCAATCTAAATCATTATTCTTATTCTTATCCATAACTACCGCCATCATTTTCACCACTTTCTTCTACCCTGAAAAAAATTGCAAAAAATGCGCGAAAAGTAACGGAGACTAGTGAGTAGAAGCTCCTCAGTTATAGCAAGTGGCATATAAACAATAATTGTTTTGCAGAGTGCAGTACATTAAATGTTCTTATAGAAATATTTTGGCTAAGCTGAACGTACTAGGAATTCTTTGATCGCTAGATCTTAGATCTTCAACAAAAAGATGTTCAAATTGTCCAAAAACAATTTTAAAGTGTTATATATATATATACATATATATATATATATATATATAAGGATAAAGGATAAAGCTCGTGTTCATCAATCCTTGAGTGATGCGCCATGTATTCGACTTCACCAAACATCGTTTGGAGGTGATTGAATGCATATTTGCCCTTTTACTATGACTCGCGGTGGCCTACCGATACGCCGAGCCAGTGCTGCTAGGCTCTCAGACAAATCTAGAACCAATTTGCTGATGCTGGAGGTGTGGAGAGCTTGGTGGGCCTGGGGTGCTGGGATCGATTCGACATGTGTGCCGCAGGGCGCCTCCGACCACTGCGCCACCCGCGCAGCATTAGTTATATGTATATATATATATATATATGACATGAATTTTTCAGGAACCAGTTATGTATTTAGGAGTAATCTTGTCAATATCGAATCACCAAAGTGTGACGTAGAATTTGCCGAATATTATTAATAACTGAATCGGCTTAGTCGTTCCAAAGCTTATAGTCTTACAATAATAATAGAGAAATAAACGATATTTCTTGTTATCTCCTTAGTAATAAATCGATAATGATCGATCGATAAGTACAGGACGTCAATAATCAATAAGTCGGAAACGGTAAAACAACTTTTAAGTAACAAAGGTGTTTCATTTAGAAAAAAATAGCAATATGATGTAACAATGTAATCAATATATGACTACAATGAGTAAAAAAATAATAATGAACAACTAAAAATGAGTAAGTTAGTGACGAGAATAATTGCACAAAATATAATAATGTGGTAATGCATTAGTGCAACAAAAAATTTATATTTCATTTAGATCAAGGACAATTATGTCACAACCAATATCTGAACCAGTCTTTGTTTCCGAACACGACAAGAGCATTAGCAATGACAACGAATCCGAAGCGGCGCACAGCTCATTGGTTCCAGATAGGTAGGCGTGTGTTGCTAACATTAATTGCTACATAAAAATCAGCTAGCTATCTGTTTTTAGGAGTAATCTAAGTGAAAAATTAGCTGAAATGCTTGGAGTGACGCTGGATACGTCAACTACAACAACAGCTGCTTTGCAACCAACACTGAGCAGCGCAACTGTAACTACTTCACAACCAGCAGAATCAGGATCAAAGGAGCAATCAGATGAGCAAATCGTTGAAGAGATCTCACGCTACGGCGTTATCCTACCGCTTTCAACTACGACGTTAACAGAATTACCACTTGATGAAAAAGTTGTTGAAAGTACATCGGAGATCAGTCTATCATCCGAGCAAAACATGTCGAATGTCCGCCAACCAGCGATGCCAAGTATAGACGTCACTGATTCGAAGAAATTTAAACGTCCAAGAAGTCGAGTTTCATCTAGAGCCTCAATCAACACCAAGGATTCAGATAAGCTAAAGCATCTCAAAAGTCAAGGTTCATCCAGAGTTTTAACCTCCACTAGTGAATCCGGTCAAATGAGACCTAGAGGTCGATCATTGTCCGGATTTTCGACTGGCATCAACGATTCAATCAGAGTGGGGCATTCTAGAGGCCAAGTTTTACCCACACTTTCAATGACCAGTTACGATTCAGATAAAGTGAGACAGTCCAAACGTGAACCCTCAGCAAGAGCCTCTTCTACTGCCAAGCATTCTGAAAAAGTCAAACGTCCAAGAAGTCAAATTTCATCCAGAATCTCAACCACCCGCAGCGATTCCGGATTTGTGCCAACGAAGGCGCGTAAGCAGACAAATGCAAGGGACCTGCCTGATAAGAAACCATCAAGCCATTGTGAAGTCAAGCCTCGCCCATTACTAAAGCCTACAAAAGAGCGAATTCAAAGCTCAACGGACGAAAGCGATCCAGAGGTGATAATTGGATTACCCTATATTTTACATTGTTTTTATCTGAAACTCATCCTGACGCACGTTATTTTTAGCACGCTCCATAGGAAATGAAAAAGTGATATATGGAATTTAATTAAGTATATTGAAGTAATACTTGTTTATATGCTTCCAAGAAAGGATATTCTTCAACACTTTCCATTTTCTGCTTAAACATTTAGTATTTCGACTTCTCACCTTCAATATGCCCGTCGACAATACAAATATAGTAGAGGGGCTGGAAAATCAGAAGTAGAAGAAATTAGCGAAACTGGATATATTAACTTTCTTAATTAATCTTTACTGCAATTAATCATGGCAGGGTACTATGTTAAACGCAACCACGATAATGCTGAGATATTTGCAAAACTTGAACTCCAGGCTAGATCGAACCACGATTACCCTTTCCCAGGACCCGCGTGGTACACACTGCACCACGGTGACCCTAGATCTGCGTTTTTCTCAGGTAGTTTTCTTCCTGCCAGTGCCATTAGCAACCACTCGTTAACGGGATTGATCTAGGGGGCACAAATAGGCAACGAACCCAGTTATGATGAGGCTGTTGTCGAAATCACAATGTTAACCAACATATTTACTGGCTACCGTAATTTTTCACGGCATTGTATAACCATTATTGGTTATTATTCAAGGTACTATGTAACTACAGCCTCGCTTTAGCTGGGTTCATTTCCGACTTGTGCTCACCAGATCAATCCCGTTAACGGATGATTGGTGATGGCATCGTCAGGTAGAAAAGCAGCTGAGAGAAAAGTAAAGCAAGAGCCTCGGTGGTGTAGTGTGCAACACCCAAGCCCCCGGAAAAGGTAGCCGAAGTTCGATCTGGCCGGGCGTCAAGCTTTTCGGAAAAAATCTCAGCAACATTGTGGTTGGGCTAGAGATATATCTGACAAACAGTTACCTACAAAAGAGTGATTTGAAGCTTGCCTTCATGATAAAAAAATAGCAGCCCCAGTGTCTAATAGGTTCACACCAATTTTGAAAATATGACGGCTTTAAGCAAAAGGTTATTGATAAAAAAGTACTGATTTAGGTTGCAACATTCAAAGAATTAGCGAAGATAGGAAGAAGAAGAGAGCGAAATTTGGATACGAGAAAACTTCAACGACGTCCTCACCGCCAATTGTCCAGTATTTCCGAGAAAAGCGCCGAGATCGCAGCCGAAGCAGCGCTCCACTATCAACACGATTATTCTATTTCAGCACCGAACACGACACGTCCACTATCAATACAGCGTCGTTGTACTCTAAGTGAAAGGTTGGGTGAGATTAGTGACAACCAAACAGATGTTGACATTCCAAGCGATGCAATACAAGTCCAAACGTCGACAATAAAACGTCGTACCGAACTGGATGTTCAGAGGAGAAAACCACTGCCACCTCCTCGTAGTTTATGGGAACCTCTTGGAAGAGCGCAAGAACGCAAGGAAATTCAACATAGGACGATGGTTACTAAAGTTGAGCCAACCACAAACGCTACCACACTAGCCCCATTTAAGCCGAGGTCCATGGAACAATCAGCTGTGGTGTCATCGCCGGAAATTCCAGATGTGACAATGCGTCGATCCATAGATCGGCTAAATCTGCTCGACAGTTCGCCAGGTTACAATCTACAAAACAGAGCGTTTATTTCGCTGCCATATGTCTGTTCGAGAAGGAAATCAAAGAGGAAAACAGGTGAAACTAGTGAAGAGGAAGACCTTCACCATCCTGGACCATCAAAAGAAGTCGCAAATTCTCGAAGTTCTGATGATAAAAAGGTATTAAGAAGCAAGGCATCTATGGATGATGAAATGCCTCATTCTTCCCGAGCACTACACCATGCGCTAATCAGTCGGAAAATCGCCACACGTCGTTGTGAAACGCACGCCACTAAATCTACAAGTGATCTGGCAGCAGAACATAGCAAAGGTACGTCGATGAATAAACTACATATGACATGCCGATCGTACGTTAAGCTTTTCGAGAATCTGAAGTGGTAGTCGTCATTTTATCCACCGAACTTCAGCTTGAACTCTGATGCATTTCTTTCAGAATCCACGGCCACTCGTCGTAGCCAGAATAGTCGATCCGTACTAAATTCACCGTCAGGCTGTTTCCGCAGGACTTCGAGTAAATTCTCGTTGAAAAGCCTATCGATAAGACCAAGTTCGACCATTGAATTCTCTCCTTACTTCATACCGGAAGCTGATGGTGATAAACCACCGAAAGAGGAATTGTGGTGGGAAAATGTTCCACGGTCAAAAGACGGGCCTTTTAGATGACGAGCCTTTTTAGCACAGTTTGAAATCATACAATACTATTTCCTTCAAAAAAATGAGCATTGACTGTTTTAACGTCCGTAATTCCGCATTAAAACAGTGTGCATTGAATGTACAGTATGTTCTTCCTAAGTGTCATTCCATAGTGCATATTCATTTGTGTCATTCATGCATTGTCTTTCAGTTATGTTTCGTTTTGCTTATAAATTATAAATATATTCATATCTTTTAGGCCCACTATAGTGAGGCAGTCGTTGAATCATTCTATTATTTCATATTGCTCAAAATGCTTTCTAGCGTCGGGTTTTCTCCTCTCATTACCTTAGCATTACGTCAAGATTGGAAGAAATGCTGGTGATCGTAGGAAATTTGTGTGCTTCCTCGAGTCTATAGATGACCCACCTTTATACTTGAACTTTTGATCTTGTGGGCTGATTAAAGGTAACAACCACCTTGTTACGCGCTAGCAGTTCAACTAGTTGTTTCCATATGGGGACCAGTCCCTATCAGTTATTTTTCTAAGAAATCTCCTAGCAGTGATAACCTATTTGTAGCATGTTCTTTAGAATAGGTCGGACTATTTTATAAAATTAGTGATAGGCTTAAGAATAGAAGTATGAACCTTTATTGTATTATCATAATACGATATTCTGGATAAACTGCTAATCACTGCTATATGGCTGAAGTTCAAGTGAGACTTTGAGGCTTCCTTTGCTTGGAGTTTAGCAATGCGATCAAATAGTTGGAAAATGTTTGACCAACACAATAATCACTAAAGGTTCCTCGTAAAACTTGGTTTTAACCTACTAAATATATAATTAAAAGTGCTTGCTATTTGAAGGTTTTGATACAAAATCACACAACGCGAAACATTGTGAGCAATAGGACACAAGTGTTCCTCTCAGTGAAGTCGCTCTTTAGAACTTATTAATATTTCATGGTAATTGAGGATTACAAAACTTTCTGAGGCCACACACCAATAAATGATCTCAACTGACAAGTCCATGGTCATCAGAAGTTTTAACAAAAAAGGCAGTTAAAAATGTTCTAAAAACTGCATCGTGGCGCAGTGGCACAAGGCGCTCTTCAACACACATGTGGAATCGATCCCCGCGCCCACGGCTCACCAAGCCTTCCATCCCTCCGGGGTCGGCAAATTGGTACCAGACTTGTCTGGGAGAATAGCAGCACTGGCTCGATACACCGGTAGGCCACCGCAGGTCATTGTAAAGGCCAGATATGCATTCAATCACCTGCAAACGATGCTTAATGAAGTCGAATGCATGGCGCATCTCTCAGGAATTGATCAAAGCCAAGAGCTTTATCCTTTTTAATTTTTTTTTAAACTGCAGTGATTGGAAATTTCTATTTTACTTTAATGTGTTAGAAAGTGCTAAACACGGGCTTATGCTTTGCATATTTATGTCAGCAACTGATTAATGCTTAAGTCATTTTCTTCCTAATTTTCGTCGTTCACTTTTTTTCCAATTTTTAACGCCATACCTGTTTTTAACATGAGATAAAAACTAATAAAGTAGTAAAATAGTTATTTCGACTAAAACTAGTTTTTTTGATAATGATCAAGGAAATATCATATTTAGGTGTTCGCATGATTCCTATCTACTATCGGACAATTCTATAAAAAAAATCGAGATGATTTGATAGTAATAGCTATCTCTCTACTAACTGAAGACGATGTCATTAACTTGCCAAGTATCAAAAAAGAGAAGAATTGACTACTTGCAAAAAACGCTTTGGGTCACAACTTCTATGCATTTTTCCCGATGTTTTCGCTCTCATGTGCCATTTTTGAAAGCGTCAATACATCATTCTTGATTTTTTAATTAACACTTGTAGTAAAATCAATCAACGTTGACTGGTTGACATGCCTACACCAGTCCTCCACACTGTGATTGAAAACGAACTCACGGTCTTTGTCGCCGACATGAGTTAACTGCATATCTTTCGAGGATTCCAGCACTTATTGCTAATGTTGTCGAATGCTGGTCGAGCTCGCCATGTAGTGATTTGTCTCAACTGTGATGTTACAATGAGGAGCGAGAAGGCAGAGCGAATGAACAGCGTATAAGGTGGCTTGCATATTCCCACTACTCTGATGACGATACTGAGCTTTCTGAAAAAATTATGAGTAAGAAGTATACGCAATTTATCGACGAGGGGAGTAGACGAAATTCCACAGCATTTGATTTGCAATAATTTCAGTTTCGGAGTTTCGGCTACTTTGGTGAACCCACTACTGATTTTACTGTTGCCAAAAAATAGGTTAATAAGCACATTATATGATTGCATCCACGATATCCGCTCAACATCCGGTTTTAACTAAGGCTATTTACTCCTTCATTACTATTTTAAAAACAATGCTTGCTTGCAAAAGCGTGCTTGAGTCTCAAATACCGTTCCGCTACGACTGGGTTAATCTAACAGCTTTTGTCAGTATACTACAGGAAGAATCCCAGGTGCAAAATTCTATGTCGAATTCGAAGTGAACAGCACTCACTCCACATTGGAGAACCACAAGGAAGAAGTGTATTTGACAATACGTAATTTGCATTTCCATACAACTCAGTCACTTCACTGGGTATTTAGTAGCTATTTAGTAGCACGTGTGTAATTGAAGAATTCAAAAGAAATCACTTAATTCTTCGTATTTTTGTTGAGCAAAAGGTCAAGTTGATAGCAACTCACTCGGCCAGACGCCTCCATAACCAAACAAAGAAACCCCAAACCAAGATTTCAATCACTTTGAACCCAGCTTTGCACACTCACCGCTTTCTATGAGGTCTCCACTAAGTATGTCACGTAGAGACCAACCGCACAGAAATCACATGGAAGTATAATGTACCCCACTCATCAGAATAGCAGTCTTATATACTGCCCTACATCACGCGTGATAATGAGGCATTCTTCCCTGCGGTTCATTTTCGGATTTCTGGAATTAATCCAGAGTGCCTCGAGAGTTTTTCGCGCCTGTGTTCTTGATTCGCGTGCAAGGGTCGTGACACATACTTCAAAGTCCTCCCCGTTATGTCTCTGGGTCCTATGCGTGCCTAGCGGAGTATTTGGTCTATGTTTGCCGGCTAGGTGTTCTTTTATGCGGACACAGAGGGGTCTGCCCGTTTCGCCAATGTATTCGTCACCGCACGTCTTACAGGAGATCAGATAAACTATACCCGAGCTCATGCAATCACCGTCTCTACCACTGGGGCAAATTATGCAGTTTTGCATCTTGCTGGTACATCTTTCAGTAACTCTCTACGTGACATACTTAGTGGAGACCTCATAGAAAGCGGTGAGTGTGCAAAGCTGTGTTCAATGTGATTGAAATCTTG